CTAACAATTCTAGTCTGGTAGTTTGTGCTAACAATTCTACTCTAGTAGTTTGTGCTATCAATTCTAGTCTGGTAGTTTGTGCTATCAATTCTAGTCTGGTAGTTTGTGCTAACAATTCTACTCTAGTAGTTTGTGCTATCAATTTTAGTCTGATAGTTTGTGCTAACAATTCTAGTCTGGTAGTTTGTGCTAACAATTCTACTCTAGTAGTTTGTGCTAACAATTCTAGTCTGGTAGTTTGTGCTAACAATTCTACTCTAGTAGTTTGTGCTATCAATTCTAGTCTGGTAGTTTGTGCTAACAATTCTAGTCTGGTAGTTTGTGCTAACAATTCTACTCTAGTAGTTTGTGCTATCAATTCTACTCTAGTAGTTTGTGCTTACAGTTCTCGTCTGGAAATTTGTGCTTAGCTCTACTTTTTGTAGTTTGTGCTTTTAAAAGGAAAAATTGATTATTGCTTTAAAGTAGATTTGGCCAACGATGACAGAAATATCACCTGCTCTAGAATGTTTTGTTGTTAAGGAATTAGTCATGTTATACAATGTTAGCATCATAACTGCATAGAATGAACTCAGTGAAAGGTTGTTTGACAATTTGTATCTGATTAAGTGATATACTGTTAGGTTTGCCCTCCATCCCTGTTGAACAACCTGCTGACCTGAGAGCTGGCAGATGTTTATAGCTCCTTACTGTTGTTCCTCACACATTATGATCCACACTTTGACAGCTATATTGGTTCACTGTTTGCTTTCTTACTATCCTTTGACAATTGTAACAGTTACTTGAACAATATGAACAATTCGTTTAGATATTTATCTTGGCAAAAATCTTGTAAATATATGTAGAGTTGGGATGCCAGGGCACCATCTTTTAGTTTGATGAGAAGGTACTGGATATTTACATAATGTCATTTTGTAACAAAAAACGTGAATTTCAAAAACAAAAAGCTTCCGCATTTCTAGTGATCAGGTGATGAGTTTGAGTTTTTCTCAGAGCTGAATTCAAATTTTCAATGTCAAAATACATTAATATTTAAACCAAACAAAATTGATTTGCCTAAACTTGTTATCAAGCTGGTCATGCTGGAGCAACTGTACCCTGATACGCAAAATGTAAACATGACCTTTGTTGAAGTACAAGGTACCAAGAAGTGGCTAATCACTGCAGTCAGAACAAGAAGTTTACATAGATGATCACACTACTGTAGCAACAGAGTTTCTGCTGATATCATTATAATGTGTTCCTCTAAGTGCTCCACATTATGAGAGAACTACAATGTTTTGAAGCATTCATGACCATGGACACAGTTTTATACAGAAACGCATAGAAAACAAGACTTGATATAAAAAAGAATTGGTAATTTTTAATATGGTGGATACAGACTTGCAGACTTGCTTTATGGGATGGATAGTCTTTTCACACGAGTTTGATTGTATTGGTGTGTTGTGTGTGTAAATCAGATATCAGACTCCCCCTGTTTATAGGTAGGCACACTGCACGATTAACTTTCATTAGTTTTAGGACATATTCTGATCGGAAGAAATGATAATAATAAGACTTTTCAGCAGATTTGTACAACAATTAGCTTTCATATCAATATACAATCCTGGGTTCAATGTTTAAACATGCCTATATTCATGTTGTATTCTTTGATGTCATTTTGTTATTTTTTGGTGTCAATTTGGTTCATAAACTTGTATCTCTACATGGTGTAAATATTTCCTGATATTTACAGTTTTGTAGCTATCCATTATATATACATATTTCCTCATGAAAATATGCATGACTGTAATTATATAGTGCACAGATGACAATGTGACACACAGGAAATTATTTTTCTTTGTTCTGATCAAGAAAGTAATGTGTTATATACAAACTGATATACTTCTAACATTACATGAGTGTAACAAGGAAAACATGTGTGATGCTCCCTTCCTATATGTCAGCTGTTTCCTCTTCATCTTAACTCAACAAACAGACTATATACACCGGACAACCTTGGTTTCTTCACCAGACAATGTCCGCTTAGGTATATTACTGCCAACATAACACCTTAGTTGTATTTCTGACACACCAGCACAACGGATATAAACTTTTTACAACTTCTGCTAATCAGTAGTACTTATTTACAACTAATAAGACACCTGCAATCCAGTTTGTGGTCACATGAAGTTTGTGGAAGATACAGTTGAATAGCAGTTTGTTGAATGTGAACTTGGATTTGTTTTAACTGTATCATAGACCAGGATTATCAGTTACCTTTGTTCAGGAAATAAGACCATGTTTTTCTGAGGTAAACAAGTTAACCAGTTTTCGTTTCAGCTAGGATTTGAAGGAGGTTGGTAAAGTATAAACTTAAATGAGGAATGTTTGCAAATACTTTCACAGGTTTTAGTGGATTTTAAAGATATTACTCTCAATATCAATTAATGGTTGTTGAAAGAAGTAGCTTCAATATGAGAATGTTTTTTGTCATTGCTGTGACTTTGTTCCTTTGAATCATGGTAAACTTGGATCTGCCATAATTGATTGTGGGTGTGATATTATTGTATGTAGATGGTGTACCTAGGATTGTGTTACACTGCACTGTCTTCCCTGTTTCTGTGAACTATTGTATATACTTACAATTGTTATGACTTGGTCAAGTACAAATTATTTGTAGAAAGGAAACCTATTTTCATCACTCTAATGACACTCCCTGTCTGTCCATTTCTCCAATTATACCTCTTCAACATCAATTAGGTATTCATCCACATGTTTGAAGATCAAGCATTGTCTGGAGTAAAACTTGTTAACTCTCTTAACCAATTCTTTTGAATATTGGTTCACATCATCATTTCTAAACTTAGTGGTGCACTTGTGATTTAATAGATTTGTGATTCTGATTGATATTGATAGGCATTTTATAATCTTCAGTTCTAATATTAAGTCACTAAACTTTGTTTTCAGAAAGCAAATATTCATACTAAATTTCTCATATTCTAGTAGTTTTTTTAAAAGAACTGAAGGAGAACACCTGATGATATACCAAGTTGGAATGAAAGGAAATTATTTTGATTCATTATCAGAGAATGAAGTAATAGAGTGATAAGTGACAGAATACTGTTTATAAAATGGGAAGTTTTTATCCTGAAACTACATTAAAGAATATAATTAACCTTATTTCTGACTCTAAAACTGTTTATGATTTAACATTATAACTGGTTTTGTTATAAAACTCAGTCATCAGACAAAAGTTTACATTCATCACTTTTGTTGGCCCCATGGAAGCTCTCATGAAAATAGAGTTCCCAGAGATAACCATAGTATTTGAAAGGTGACCCTATACCTTTTCATGTTTGATTGAGGATTGAAGCACCCCAACCTTCTTAATGAAAGGGGAAAGCACTGTCCACTTCACTACTTGACCAGCCTAAACTCTAATATGCTTGAATGTTTATTGATTTCAAAAATCCTTTAAGGGCCAAGTGAGCTATAGGGATACTGTAGTGTCCATTGTCTCTCAGCTTTTTCTATATATTGCAACTATTCATGAATGACTGAGCGGATTTTGATCAAATTTGGTCTGAAGCATCCTTGGAAAAGGGGGAACCAATTTTGTGTACATGGTGGGTGTGCTCCCCTTCCCCCGAACCTGAGGAAAATCAATCAACATCTTTAAAATCTATCTTGTTCTTTAGGAATTCGGGATATTGTACAAATTTGGTCTGAAGCATGTTTGGGTGAAGAAAAATCAGTATTGTATAAATGGTGGGTCTCCGCCCCCAGGGGCTAAAGGGGCAGGGCCCAATAAGGAAAATCTATCAATTCTTTAAAATCTATCTTGTTCTTCAGGAATTGCAGGATATTGTCCAAAATTTGCCAAATGCGTACTTGGGTGAATGGAAATCAGTTTTGTATAAAGCCTAAATCTCTGCCTTCTTGGGCTAGAGTGGCAGGGCCCCTTACAGAAAATCTATCAATTTCTGTAAAATCTATCTTTTTCAAGAAATGCAGGATTTTGTCCACTTTGCACTGTCAACAATTCATTTGGATCTTTGATTCCCACTTAAATAACTAAAGCATTGCTGAACATCAGGAGATAAACATAATCATAGCTGATAATTTGTCCTAAGGTCTTGTCCCACCCTAGGACAGATTATATGTTTGAAGCCATTGAGATTACCATCCCATAACTTGATAGCATTGCTGGACTTCAAGAGATTAACAACTGAACTCTGTCCCCACCCCTAGGAAAGTTTTGAATCATTGACTTAGACATCCAAGTGAGTGATGCAAGCCCTATGGGCCTCTTGTTTTACCTTATGATGTGGTTCTTTTAATCTCACAGACCTATGTATACAATGTCCACTATCTAAACAAAAGCCTGTACAATTTAGCAGCTGTTTAAACCACAAAATCAGTCATTCCATAGATATTAATCCTGATTTAAACTGTGCAACTGGTCTTGTTTGTCCTAAGTAGGAGGAATTAGAGCTTGTTTTAACTGATGATAGTGAATTGTCTGTGGTAATGTGGAAAAAAATACATTTGCAATGACATTTACGAGATTTTTTTCTTTGAAATTAATGACTTTGTCTTGAACAAAATAATCAATCTCCTACAGGTTCTTGACATTTGAGCTTTAATTCACCTTGTAGAAAGTATTTTACCTTACGATAGTTGTATACATGTTTAAGATCCTGTTTGATTTCCAAAGATATTGTCATCAAATGAGAGACTGTTTTGATCACATTGTTAGGTAGGCATTTGAATATCTAACTCCTCAGGCATATCAATTTAGTGTAATTAATTTCCCTTTAAAAACAATTATATGATTAGCATTAAGGTGTGTGGCTGTGTTAAGTGGTTGGTGTTAATCGTGTGTGTAACACCATAACTATCCATGTGTTTGCATTAGCTGATACAGACTAGATGTTTGAGCTCTGAGCTGTAAACACGATAGATTGATGATTGAATGCTTCTTTCCATTGCTCTTAACCTCTGTTTCCTGTCCACAGGATCACCTGAACAAGAAGCGAGAGCAGATGAAACATGTGAAAATGCCGGAACTGATGGAGACACAGGAAGTTGGCAGTTTAAACGGAACAAAGAAAGCAGAGACCAACGGAGAAGTGGTCCAGCCTCCTCCACCCTCTAACCAGCCAGCCTTTCCGAGCATACCCAACTCATTCCTACAAACGCTAAAGCTCAACTCTGACACTGTCAACGGAGATGATGATGGGTAATTATTTATCAAGATGTTTCACCCATAGATATTTATTTCAGTACATTTTCTTTAGCCATTGTTGTCAAACTGTGTTAAAATTTTTTCTGAAAGCACCTCACTATTGATGTTCAAAAATTACAAAAGATATCAAGAAAAGGTAAATGAAAATGTTATCTCAAAAGCAAGGTTGTCATAGTTAGATCACCTTACAAAGGCTTTTGTAAGACAACATTTGTGAAGGAATAGTTTGCCACAAAACTTCATGTAAATTATTGTACATATAGTATTAATTATCTTTTGATGCTTATTTCAAATTAAAAATGGCCACCAGTGACCATCTTGGATTCTTGTACCCAAAGTGACACTGTGACTTCTCGTAAAGAACTTCTCTTATTTTCTCCGAATCTCTCTACAAATGTTCAATATCATGAGCTTCCAATTTAGATTACAGGTGATCCAAACTTTAAAGTATATGGTTGGTAGGAGCTATTTTGGATTTCATAAAGATATATTTCAAGATAATGTCTTTTCAGTGATCATAATATTTTGCCAAGTTACCAAGCTAGTATTCTTGCTAACCAGGACAAGCTCTGTATTTCATTGTAACAAATGTGTACATATATAATGATGCTTCTTCCACTGCACTTGGTTGAAGCTGAAAGTCCCTGGATGGTAGTAATCAAAGGGAAATCTCATTTCAAAGGCCTTGTATGGTTTAGGTCTTACTACAAAATCTATACATTTTGAATTATTTCACTGAGTGTCTGTCCATAAATAGGAATAGGACTACGCCTTACTTTTGATCAGCACACATTAGAGATATTTATCATGTTTACTGCTAATATTTCGTGGAACATTGAATATACGTTTTTATATTTGTGAAAGCAAGATTTGATCTTCTTAACTCTGTCTTTACCAAATATTTTTGAACTTGTTATTGAAATGTTGGAGAGAGACTGCCTAAATAGTTGATGTCACTTAAGTGATGATTTTGCATTCATTTGATATCTGTTGCTGAAGTCATATTGAATCTATTGGAAATATGTGTAGATTGTATGAGAAATGTAGACCATTTGCTTGTTGAATGGGTTGATTCAACAGTGAGAATATATACAAGAACTTAAATTCAGGACATATATGATGTAAAAGGATTTATAGATGTATAATGTTAAAGGATATTTATTTAAATACTTTGTCACAGCTCAACAATCATGACAAGGAGAAAACACAAATTACAGCAAATTTAGGAGTTATCGTGATGTAATAAAAATTCTGTGATCGTAGTTTATCGTGACTCCGCCTTCTGTCTGGGTTCTAACGACAGGACTTCCCTCTACCTGGAAAAGTGGACTGATAATAAATTTTCTTAAAAGATTTGAGAGAAAGAGTAACAACAGAGTACAGCTGTACTATAAGAGGCCAGAACTTGTCATTTTGAGAACAAATGATTTGGTTAATTGTTTGTTTTCAAGGAAATTGTGTGACATAATTTATCGTTGATAATACTAGTTTTAGTTTTATTGGTGATTTTTGAAGACTTCAAGCTATAAATTGATACAAACTGACCTTCTGATCCATTGTACATGTCAGATCCTTTTTCATGTCAACACTCTACCTTAGAATTTTAAGTGTTTGGTGCATTGTGCAAGTCTTGTGTAGGGTCGATATTGGACTTTAAAGTTGCTTAATCAAATAGTAAACTGTGATAAAAAAAAAATCAACTACTGTTCCCTATAGAAAAGATCAGTCGATCCAGATCAATCAATTTAGATAATTCCATTACCTAGTTTAGGGGTGGTAAGTAATACTGCATTAACAGGTGCTGATTGTTCAGGTAGATATATAAACGTTACTGAGGAAAGAAGGGATATGGGCTTGTAGTAGGAGTATGGTATATATATATGCACAGTAATATTCTTAGTTGACTATCGGTGGGTGGTATGGAGAGTTCTTACACAGAACCTGATGAGGTATATCCTACCTGGATTCATTCCAGTCAGATAAAAGGACTGCAAACTTCCTAGTCTAGGATCATTTGGAGAGTATTGACCATTTATGCTGACCAAGGTGCCGAGGTCATTGCTTAGGATACTCTTGCACTGAAGATATATTGTAATAATGATGGGTAATTAAAGTGACTTTGAAACAGTCTTCTGAATATTCTGAAATGCGGGATTTACCTATGGAAGAATTTAGACAGTTGTGTGATTCGATTAATCAGACATTTGAAGAAGAGGAATATAACAGGTAAAACAGGTGCATTGATTTAATACCTGCACAGGTGTACAGACATGTTCTGGTATAGTATCAAAGTACAGTTGATATTTGTAATGCTTCAGTCTAATTACTTATATAATATCTATTTTAGATTTTACCTATCTAAAATTTTAGATATATCAATCTTCTGTGATACAGTGTAATTGATATGGATTTCTTCTGAGGTTTATAAACCAGTAAATGTACTACTCCTGTGTTTTCTAGTTTTCCTAAAACTAATAAACAGGGGTTTAAGAGGAAGTTTGTATGTAGCCTTAGTTCCTCAATAAGACATCTGACAAGTGTTTTCTCGATTACAGATACGATTTTCATTCAACATATGGGTAAAAATTATTTGTACTGTTCAATATTTATATAAACTACCCAAACCATTTTCTAAACAACTACCACTAATCTTTTGTCAACAGATGGTCATGTATCCATTGCTGTGTAATTTCCTGCTTTTGCGGTCAAACTTATACATTGGGATATCGCAGTCAGAAGGCAAATTATGATATCAAAGAATGACGCCATCCTTTTGTTATATGATTGTGAGAAAAGTATTCTGTCACTGAGGTTATAGCAAAAAAAAAAATTGTCAGTGTTGTTAAATTTAAATTCTCTCACCAGTGTTATATATACACAGGTTTATTTAAACAAAATAACGATAAAAAGATCCGAATGAATTCAGCAGATTCATACCTCTAAATACAGATTCTCTGTTAAAATTACAGTATCAAACTATCAAGCTTTGCATGATTTTATTGTTGAAAATACAGTTTTTGAGAGGATGGGAATTCAAATATATTTAGAGTCCAAGATCATCAGATTCCTGTTACCTTGGCATAGACTCAGCAGGATTTGCATTATTTATATCATATACTCAACTGAAACATGTACAAGATGACAATGAAGGACGATACCATCAGTGATGTATCTATTTTCAATATGTGATGTTGAATTTTTGCTTGTAAAATTACAGAGTGTGAAATGACACAGTATATCAAAGAGACATCATATTGCAAAACAGCCATTTATTCATTCATTTTATCATAATAACAGTTTTGACATTTTTGAAGTATTTAGGTATTAATGTAAACTGACTTTGCTCCAGCAGTACGTGATTCATACAGTAAGATTTAAGGGTAAATGCCATGTTATACATACAAATTCTGAATTGTGATAGAATGACATGTTCAATTAAAGATAAGTGTGTTGTCAGTTCATCAGTTGGATAAATAATTACTTGGTTCTCTTTTTTATGAAATTTTTAGGAAGTCCAAAACAGGCCTGTAATAGTTTGTGATTTACTTCTGAAAAATTTGTATATTTGTGGTGAGCAAACAACCTGATAACTCAACTTCTGCAATAGTCATTGGTGGTATAGCTCTTTTTTTAAAAATTATTTAAACAAAGAAAATGGTCATACATTGTTATTATAAATTTACTCATACTCAATAACATCACAACTTCTTTAAGCACCAATTCCTAAGATGAATTACTAGTAAAACTTGATATACAAGGACCAGTTTGATATCCAAACATCAGGCTTCATCAGATGTGGAAATCATTGTAGATCTTAAATATAATGGATAACTTTCTTCTCTATAACAGTTTATGGGAAATCCCTTTTGAAATATATACACATCATATCATAAACTGGGTACCAGAACACCATATCTCACTGTAAGACAATTTATAGGTGTCCATTGGCAATAATAACCATTTCATTCTTCAAAACAGTTTGTGTTACTAATAGAAATTAATCTATAGACCCCAACGGGTTAACAGAAACTCTGGAGATTTAAACAAATTTGGGATCTAAATACACATCTGCACTGATTAGTATCTAGATTGGAGTACATGGCTTCCTTCTACTGTATAGACCCCACTAAACTGTTTACAATCATTATTGGAAGACTTTTAAATATTTCTCAAGGTTTGTGTGGGTGTTTGTTGATATATTTATTTCTATCACACAAATAAATGTCAAAGGTCAAGATTGGATAGCCATTGATATCTCGATATATCAAAATGTTTATTGTAATCCAACAACAGATTTTTGTTAGTAGTCCAGGTACTATGGTTGAAAAGCTTTGTTAACTTTTAAAGTTTGCAGTGATAGGATCAGTTATCTTTAATTTGTGTTCATAATTATTTTGAAAAGAATTTGATTACTGAGAACCAACTTTGAAGTCAGCAATATGAACTGTTATCACCTATGCTTCCATAACTTATCACAGATTTCAAAAGATAACAAAATCAGTTTCCAAAAATTCTTCTGGAGATGTGAAGACTGATTTTGGATGAACACTGATAGATTTCTATTTAAGTCGTGAAAACCTACACACCCATACATAGGTAAGGTGGGAGGATGGAGTTGGTGGTTGGGTGTTGGTTACTTTGTCGTGCCTTGGTATATGCATCATCTGTCTGTGCATCCCATGAGAGCCTTGTGTACAAGATGTAAATAATGAATCCCTGAACATAGTCACACTAAAGCATCATACATCAAGGTCATTGATAAAGGTAAAAGGTGAAAGGTCACCCTCGACCACTATGGAAATAATTACTTCCTGATCCAGAGGGGGGTATATCTTGTTTTAGAAAAGATGTACAGATTTTTTATTGCCATATAAAAATTAATTACTTAATTAGAGGAGAATTTTAAACACAAAATTGTGATATTTAATGTAAATATTTCACATATTGGTAAAATTTTTAAAAATGGGTGTGACTAAGACAAAGATCAAGTAATG